TTTACACTGCTTTGCATGACGTTTTTTGTATTCTTAGCTTCATTTTCATGCATTATCATGCATTAAAAAAGGGAGATGATGAACAGAAAGGCATCTATTTATGGATGAAGCCACATCATGACGACTAATGTACATACCAGTTGCAGGCCCTTCTATTTAAAAATGCTCATTCTTTGGCTAAATTACTAATTATTTTGCATGGTGTTTATGTTGTTCTTCTAGCCAAGTATACAGCTTAGTCAATGTGGTGAAGTTTGACTTTGGAAAGAATACCCAATCATAGGAAAGTAAAATTAAAAAAATAAAATGCCATTTATGTTTGCACATGGTTGGATTATGGAAGTCACTTCATTCACTTATCTCTGGGGATAATTCTCTTGCAAAGTGCAACATCCCTTGCAAAATGAACAGTTTATTTGCCTTTAGTAAATACATGACAAGTGCCCTGCAAAACATTTTGTAAAAGCCTACTCAGGGAAGACCAACACAGACAAACACCTAGCATTTTAGAAAGGAGACCCTAATGTCAGGATCAAAAGATTAATAATGTTTTCATGCTTGCACCAGGATTTATGAGATAAAAAGGTCTAAATTTGTTTTCTTAACAATCCAGCATTGTTGTATTGTATTGTTACCGTGTAAGCTGGCACTTATAAGTTTAGAGTATGGTAAGAGTATAGTTTTTCATTTTCTTAGGTCAATCATTTGTATTGTTCATCCTTTTTTGATTATGAGAGCACAGTTTTTTTTTACGGTTATCCTATCCCCTGCTCAGCTTTTATGAATGTCTTATTTTAAATGGTCCTCACCTGAAGCATAAAAATGCATTTTCTACAAAGCGGTTCTCCCATAGGTTGATGGTCACTTTGCAGTAAGTATTTATTTTTCTGGTATGCCTGTCCTGGGTTTAAACCAATGTTTTCACCATATACCTGCAATGGAACAGGCAATATGCATCTATTTTCAGACTGTTTGTGAACTTATACTTGTAGCCCTGTAAGCAGTGACAACATTTTCCTTGCCATCAAATACATTTTATTTACACAAATTCCCATGTAAATAAAATGAATAGCAGCTCTGTGTGGCCTTATTTGTCATTTTTAAATAAATTACCAGGACCCAACATAGGTATAACATAAATTAGTCCAAATAGGGGAAAAAAAAAAAAATACCTCTAATGCAGTGGCTTGTACAAATTTTGGTAGGTGTTCTGGCCTGCTTGTAACATTTTTTTCACCATGTTTCTTTCACCAGAATGCATTACTACTTCTGGAAGGGAATTAGTGGCAGGCAGGGCCAGGACAAGTGGGAAGGGGCATGTGCTCCAGACTCACTGGTGTAACGTGGAGGGAGGGTGGGACACCAGTGAAGTTGCTAGCACTGGGCACCAAGGGAATGTGTCCTGCATCTCCTGGGGGGTGCCCTGGTCTTTGGCACTGCAACACTGACACCTGCAGCAGTCGGCATCTCTCCCCAAAGACTGCTGCCTGACACAACACACAGTAAATGCCAAAGCTGAAGGAATGTAAGAGGATTTGCACTAGATGGAGTAGAAAAAGAGCACTTTCTGAATGTAGTAAGATGGTGAAGTCATATTTATTTAAAAACATAGAGCAACTCGCAAGATGCAATGTAAAGGCTTGCATATCACATGACAGTTTTCTCCTGTAAGTTCCGGACCTCTGCGGGTGGTGTACTCCAGGACCAGTCAGACTAGTGGTTTCCAGGGCTTCAAGCAAGCTGGGAGATCCAATGCCGATAACGGTAATGTCATCAGAAACAGAAGCAGAAGGGAGGCAGTTTAGCAGTCGTGCGTTGGGAGCATGTGTGCTCCTTCCTCAGGCCGTGATGTGGCCATGTTTGTTAAGGGCTTATTTACATGCAACCCAAGAGCGGACTACAAGGCTCAGGAGTAATGAAAAAAAAATATAGTACTACATAACAAACTAAAAACAGCAACAACACATAAAACACATGTATGAACAACATGGTTTAGAACAGCTCTATCTATCTATCTATCTATCTATCTATCTATCTATCTATCTATCTATCTATCTATCTCGCTATCTATCTATATATAGAGAGAGAGAGACAAAGCATATAGGGAAGAGAGTGGGGGGGGGGGGATTGAGAGGGAAAAGGGGAGTTACTCACAATACTCACAAAAAATGGATGTAGTCATGAGGAAAGACCATAAGGAATAGAAAGGCAATAATATATATACAGTGGGGATCGAAAGTTTGGGCACCCCAGCTAAAAATTTGTATTAACCTCCCTGGCGGTATTCCCGAGTGTAGCTCGGGGTAACATTTCAGTACCAAAAGCGGTAACCCCGAGCTACACTCGGGAATACCATGCGGCTCTGCTCCGGCATGTATTCTTCACTTACCTTACCCTGCGCTCCCACGATGTGTCCCCTGCAGCGTCCCCGGCCATCTCCTCCGGCCGATGCCGGCATCCGGCTTCTGTGTCCTGTCCCTGTGACGTCGGGACGTACGGGCGCCGCCGCCGCCGGCGGCGGGAAATTTAAAAATTTTAATAAAATGTCATTTTTTTTTTTTTTTCATTTTACACAGTAAAACATTGCTGTTTCAACCTATTTCACATACATTTTGTCCCGAGTGCTTTGTCCTGTGCCCTGCCTGCATTTTGTCTGTTCTTTCTGCCTGGAAACTGAGAAATGTCCATGGCGTCCAAAAACGATGAAATTTATGTGGTGACCAAAAAGTGTCCCTTTAGGTCAAAAGCAGTTTAGATCAGCTAGAGAACAGCGATAGTAAATCAGAACCACTTACAGAATTGAGTGATAATGATTCGTGGGGAAATTCGTCATCAGAAACTGAAAACGATTTTGCGACTGAGCTCAGCAATGTGCGAACTTGGCGCTCTATTTCACATTTCAGTGTTTTTGGTTTGATTATATTATTGAATTAAATTTTTTATTATTTTTATATTATTTTTATGATTATTTATTAAATTATAATTTATGATTTTGTGTTTCAAATTTATCATACCCGGGATGTTTACTAAACCCCAAAGCATGATTGATCCAACTGTTAAGCATGGGGTTGGATCAATCATGCTTTGGGGTTGTGTTGCAGCCAGTGGCACAGGGAACATCTCACGAGTAGAAGGAAAAAAAGCATGGATTCAATAAAATTTCAGCAATTTTATTTAGGGATCGTAATGATTATGTGATCCTAGGTATGTACCATATCTATGTACTCTGTACGTCTGTATGCTCTTGACATAAACGAATTCACTTTGATTAGAAATTGTTTAGAGCTACAAGAACTGAATTGAAACTTTCACTACATATAATTCAGCAGGTCTGAAAAATAAATTTTTAAGGGCACTTAAAGTGACTCTGCAGCTTATCTTAAATCTAAAACATAAAGTACCTTGTAAAGAAAGAACGGAATACCCACTTTTCAGGTGCTGCTATCTGACAATTCTGGGTGTTAGATAGTGTGCCCCCACGCAGGCCACTGTGGCTCTTGTAGCATCCAGTGAGGGGCACTCTATTCATCATGCCAAGTGTCATTTAGCAGTAGCACTCAGGTCTGGTTCACATCATAGAAAAGCAGTCTGCTTGCATTCTAGATGCATTCCTGTATGTGTGTTTTTGATGTGTTCTGGTGCGTTTTTTTTGGTGCATTTTTGATGCATTCCAGTTAATTTTTTCCTTTCTCTTTTTCCTTCAACTTAAATAAGGACATGTGTGTTCCAGTGCATTTTTGGTGTGTTTTACTGCGTTCCAGCACAGTTCAGTGCAGAAAAAAATGCAGCATGTTCTACTTTTTTTTCTGTAACGCACTGCAACTGTCTGCACTGGTGTGCCTTTGGAAACTATGCCATTGCAAACCATGTAACCTACTATCAATGCGTTTTTGATACAGAAAAAAATCACACTGGACTGCATGTGGTGTGAACTGGCCCTCAAAGCTGTACGAAAGAGTGAAGTTTCAAGACACTGCCCATCCTAAAGGTGAATATTCAGCTTCTTCTCTTACAGAACATTTTTTGTTTCATTTCTTGGTGAAAGTAACAGGTTCACTATGAACTGACATTATATGATTTTTTCTGGCAATTTTTGCATTTACAAGAGTTGTTCTTCTAGTAATTAGTTGGTTTGTTAGGAACCTATGATGTTCTTCTTAGTACATGGTAATTCATTAATTAAAATAAGTGATAAACCAAAGAGTGATTCCTGTGCCAGAATAGGATTCTTGGTGTGTTCCTGACCCTGGCGTTCACAACAGTTTGTAAATGAAGTTGTGCCAAGGCAAAGCCAAGCCTGTGAAAATATTCTTCCAACACGTCTTTGTTGTCATAGTGATGCTGTATTTCACAGGCTGGATTGCATTCATATACCTCCAGCTGTAAAGGTTTGGCTTAGTTTGAGACGCGCACCAATGAGTTATTTTATGGCACTCAACCTACATGACATTTGTTGGGTATAAAAAGAGGCAGGTATGGCTGGCAAAACAGTATAATACATAACGTCTTACAACTGGAACACTAGTGACTTGGAGGCAAAATTGTTTGAAATTGAAAGTAGTTACTGAATTTAGTATTCTAAAGGACATGTACAGTCTAATTATTCCTCAAGAACTCAGCTTGATGTACAGTATATAATCATATTAAAATGTCAGTCCACCCAAAACTGATAGTTCATCTTCTGGCAGATGCTGGAGAGTTGAACTCATTTCTCTCATGTCTCTTTGTGACTCTGTTGCTCAGATATCTGGGTCTGCGCATCTGCCATGGCCATTAATAAGGGGTTTCATTTTCCTTGCTGCATTTTTAATGTATTATATATTATGGCGAGTGCAGCAGGGAGAGCTGAAAGACACAAACGTGGGTGGAAATACGCACAACTAGAAAGGAACAGATTTGGGAAATATGGCAGGGTAGTCTCTCTTGATCACACTTGTAACTTAACATTGTTTTTTGGTGGAATGACCATACAATGTGTTTTAAAGTGTTACCTAAACTATCTAAACCCACAACAGTAAAATGAGTCTGTATATGCAGTAAGACATGCTTGTTATACTCTCTGTGGAACCTAAGGGGTTAATCCTCTGCATTGTGTAAAACGGATGTTTGAGTCTGTCTTCTCTGATCCTCCCCTTCTTCCACAGTGCCCAATCCATCTGTGGATAGAACAGAGCCTTGGGGGGGGGCAAGCTCCACATGCTCAGTTTGGTGTGTATTGCTAGAGAGTTTTTTTTTTCTAGGAAGAGTAAATGTGTTTAGCACAGGGACAATCAGCACTGACCAGACAGAGGGTCAGGGGTTATGCAGCCTCATAAGAGAATCGGGGAAAATGAAAACTGATAGATATCACAAGACTGCTCTAACTGCTGATGAAAAAAGTTATTCAGCAGTTAATATTTACTAAAATAATTGCATTTCTATGGTCTGTGGGAGACCAGGTATAGTGAATGCAGGGTCCTGGGTTTAGTAATACTTTAATGGTTTGAATACCTTGCTTCTCTATATAGCACAGCCCCCTTAGGAGTTGCAGACATTTTGGGTCCCTCTATAGTCCTACACAGCCAGACAACACGTATTTCCACACAGACTTGCATTCAGGAGTCAATTACCAGTCCCTGAGCTTGTTTTTTGGATTTTATTAGGGGGGGGGGGGGTTCAACTTGGAGTAAGGGGTGAACAGGATGCACAATGGAACTAAGAAACTGAGGACAACATCCTGAATTATGTACAAGTGGTTACAGCAGTCTCTTTTGGTGAACTAGCCAGCATCTTCTGTAGTACCACCCAAGACCCTAGATACTCCTTAGGGGGAGGGGGAAGGACACAAGGGATCCAATGTCTGCCGCATGAATGGTGAAACAGTCCTGGGTGGCAGGCTAATCCAGTTTACCACTAGAGAGCCTCCTTCCCCCTTTTGGCCCTGGGGGTGTAGGTCTACTCAGACTTTCTCTTGTGCTGCTGGTGGGTCAGTGGCTGCTATCAGGACCTTTATCTGGGCAGCTCCTTCCCTGCCTCACAGGTGGCCCTCTCTCAGGGGGCTGACAAAGTCCTGAGCTTTCCTCCTTCCATTTTCCTCTGCCTGTAGGTAAGCCCCGCTCCACCTGAGCCCCCCAAAAGGCTCCTGTCTTCTAGCCGAACATCCTCCTGAACCAGGGGCGGACTGACCATTCGAGCACTCGGGCCCGGGGTCAGTAGGGGGCCCCATGAAATGCCCCTGGTACCTTTTTATAAGCTTTTTTGGGTGTTCTTTGAGTATGGGCAAGGACACAGGGGCCCCATGATCCCCTATTGCCTTGAGGCTCCATGAGTTGTCAGTCCGCCCCTGTCCTGAACTCATACTCTCCTCCTCACTCTTTTGCTGCTGAGCATGCTCGGTTACTCTTTAAGGCTGTCCTTGCCCCTTTCCAAGCCTCCTGTTGGGGATTGGCCAGGATCCTCTAAAAGAACAGACCAGCCACTCCTCAGATCTGCCCACTGCTTCTAGATCTTTCTCCACAGTTCTAGAGCAGGGGGAAATCTAGAGGGCTGATCTGCAGAGCCTCTCATCTCTGACCACAATTTGACCCCTGCTAGCTATAACACCCAGGCAGCTACTCAGCCCTCCTAGCTAACAATTGAGGTCTAGCTCCCCCTAGCTGACTAGGGGGGGGCTACATGTATATAGATTGTAATTATATATGTGCATGGAACAACAGTATTTGTCCATTACATATGCAGGCTTTGACGTAGTGTACAGTGGTTATACCTTATTGCACCTTACTGCTCCTTTCTCTATGAGTTGGAAGACTTAGGCAGCCCATACATTACATTTTTTTATTCGTTCAATCAGTAGGTTGAACAAAAAGAAATGATCAGATTCCCCCATTCACATCCCTGATGTCGTATTGTATTCTGACAGCGGGGAGCCTTCCCCCCTGGCGGTATATACTGATCAGTGTTGCCAGCTATAGCCGGCTGCACTGACCACTCAGGAAAAAACTCCAACAGGCTGGTTGTATAAAAGTCGATAAGTACTGAAATCAACTTGTGTACAATCAGATTGCCTATGCATGAATCAAAATTCAGCTGGTTCCTGCTGAACCAGATGAATTTCAATCCATGTATGGTTGGCTTTATTCCAAGCAATGCATTCCCTGTGGGGCTTATATCTTTTTATACAGTTGCTAAGACAGAGTAATTGTACTGAGCAGCTAAAAGCTCCTTCTAGAGGTTAATCTATAATTCTTTATATTTAAAGTGTAACTCTACTCTGAGAAATAAAAAAACATCCTTTTTAAGGCGTTTAGCAAGCTTCATTTCACAATCCCAACTGTTGACATTTGTACTAAAATTCACACATGTATTCTACTCACTTTCTACCTACAACCACTCCTTACTTCTTAAAGCAGAACTGAGGGTATTTTTTATAACAGGCTATTATTAAGAGATATATGAGGTTTCTTCTGCAATAAAATACACCTACCTGCCTGCTGTCAGTCTTATGCAGCATGTAAACTTAGCTGTGCATGTGCAGCTCAGCTTACATTGCTGGCATGGTCCCTGTGTGCTGGGATGACTGACTCCTGCACATGCTCAGGAGTTAGGTCTTCCCACACAGACCAATGGAGAGCCGGTAAGGGACCCAGGCCATAAGAGAGGAGGTAAGTTTAATTTTGCTTTAGGTTTGGAGTGTAAAATTGGAACACTAGTCACATAATCAGTCCCAGTGTTATATTAAATAAAATAGTCAATTGCATAATCAAGAAATGTAATTTCCAGGGAGGAACTGTACACCAAGTGTGTAGAGAACACCCCTGCACAGGAAAATAGTGTTTAAAAATATTATCTTCTTTAGATAATCATAGTTGGTTGTAGATTGAACTAGAATGGTAGTTTTTATCAACAAAAATGGTTGCCAACTATATACTGTGTGTGATATTAATATTTCATGAAACTAAGGTTATGTTTGCAGTATTATTTTAAAATACTGTATGTAGTCACCAGTCATACACTGTTTTGTCTTTTACAAAATGTCTCCAGTTATGAGATTTACCGAGGGATTGATTATATGCCAAAAGATCCTAAAACAATTCATCAGTCTGAAAGTCTTGAGATAAGTCCTTCTGCCAATTGTAAATTCTGCCAGTGCAAAAACCAGGTTTCCTGACAGAAATCCAGGCAATCAGCATTCTCAGAATGAGATAAACTATTTCTGATAGTACAGATTTTGTTTACAGAGGACCTTGCAGTAAAATGTGAAGTCCACTTAAACTGCCTGGGCTCCCTCCCAATGTATAAATGATTGCGATGTCAGAGGTCCAAAATGTACCTGAAAAAAAGTATACTTACCTTACCCCTGATTTCCAGCCATAGTATCTAGAGGGAGGATGATGTCACTCTTTTTGCACTAGATCCTGGGAAATACAGAGCAGATGAAATCTTGCAAGAAGACGCTCTTGCACTGGACTGGAGTGTCTTCCTTTGAGATTGGCCTGTTTCCATTGCCCAGGAATCTTAGCAAATATGGTGATGTCAAGTCATTTGATGTGGAAGATGGGGTAAGGTAAGTATAAATCTAACTATTTTATTTACAGGTTCATTTTTGAACCTATATGCAGCAGGGGATTTTTAAGGCAGAAAGGGGCCAAGACAGTATAAGACAGGACATAGATAATGCAATTTTCTTTCCAGCAACCCATGAGTTGCAGGAAAGAAAATAGCTTGATTCCCCAGTGAACACAGTCAGTGTTGATGGGGGAATCCCTCCCACTGAGCTATTTTGCTCTCCCAGGGGGGGGGGGGGGGTGCAGGGGAACATTCCTGCTGGGAGATCACAATGTTTATTGCGAGTGGCTATATGGATCTACTTGGGTGCAATCAGCCTGCCCATAGATGGATCGAATCTCGGCTGGTCTCTGCTGAACCATCTATGGCTGGTTTAAATGGACCTTGCATGTTATTGCAAGGTCTGCCTTAAACCCACAGAATTATTACTGATGATTGGTAAAATAAACCTGCCAAAATGTTTATATTTTTCCTCATAGGAAAGATCAGCTGAGCTGGGACTATATGCTGAAGCTACTCATATCCATTGCAACTGCCTCCAAATCTGGCTAAAATGTATCAGTTTGGATGTAAGTCATCTAATCGTATGACAAGCATTGCTATGCTGAGTTCTAAAAGCTATTCAGAAAAGAAACTGTAAAAAAATAGGCAAGCTCATTCTAAACTAGATAGAACAAAGGTGTGCAAAGCCTTGATAAAATGTGTGTATATGACTGTCTAGGTAATGTAATGAAAATACAAGTGTGGCAGGCACTAGAATCTAAGTCTGTGATCTTATGGATAAACTGAAATCTTTACAACCTGATTGGCAAGCACTTGAAGAATTAGCAAATGGCAGTTCCCTTGCTTTCCATGATTACGAGTCTGCACAAAAAGGATAGTTGCACGATGTAGCTAAAAGAAAATTATAATATATTCTGGTCTTTTCTCATATGTTGCATTTGTTTTTAACATTTTCATGTTTATAAATGTATTTTTTATACATTTTTTAAGTTTTTCCAAAAATTACAAATAAACATTTAATACAATGTGAATTAAAGTGGTTCTAAAGGTAATTTTTATCCTAAAATAAAAAAAGATGTTATACTTACCTGCTATGTGCAATAGTTTTGCACAGATTGGTCCCTGGGGTTCCCTACTAGCACGTTCCTCCTTTTGTCAAAGTGCCCCCCTAGCAAGCAGAGTGCTGGAGGGGCACCCTTGAGGGCATGCTCCTGAGCCATGCTGTATACATCCATAAACACCCACAGGCTGACTTGGCCATGCCCACTGTTCCCTCCTCACAGGATTTGACTGACTGCAGCAGGATCTGATGATAAACTGAGTAAGACAGTCTGCATAATCTGATAGCATCTGCTTGGCAGATATATAGAAAGAGCTCCTGCTGGCTGCAAGCGATAAATGTAAAAATTTCAAATGCAGTTTTTAAAATCAACCTAATTAAAAAAAATAATATTAATGTTATTTTTTTCTGTAAAAATTTTAATTAGACATAAAAAAGCAAATGAATAAAACAGTAAGCATTTCCTTGAGGCTGGGTTCACACATATGCGGTCCAGTATCTAGCATGTGATTCGCACAGGAACTGCACCGCATTCCTGTGCAAATCACATGCGAATTGTGTGCGGTGCAATTGGAGCCATACATTTTGCATGGCTCCAATCGCACTGCATCCGCACCAAAAAGGTTCAGGACCCTTTTTTTGGTCTGCACTAGAATCGGATCACATGGGTATTCACACCCATACGATTCGCAGCATTTTCTGTGCGAATTCCG